GTACAGGCACTCCTTCCCCGTCTGCTCTGAGATGGCTTTGGCTGACATGGCTACTTAGTCTGAGGTGGCAAAAATAAAAGCAGTCAGAATCAGAGTCCAGTTCTCCCAGGACACTCCCCACCACCCAGCTCAGCGCAGACCCGAAGCGGATGCAGAGCTGGGGCTGTAAAACTAAAACTCACCTCACAACCAAGAACCATTTGTGTTGCTTCAAACTTCTACCCCATTGTATTGCCCTGAACACTATTTTGGTCCAGCCTTGCCTGCAGGGAAGGGTGGAATCCTCACAGCTTGGCACGGTGGTGGCCAGGACTTCACCAAACCTGCCAGCTCTGAGCATCCCCCCACGGCCAGGGCTGCTCAGCTAAGGTCCAACTACACAGCACCCCGGGTTTGCTGTTGTGGGGTCTCTGGAACACACCCTCCCCTTCTTCTCCTTTGGTACCAGGGAGTGACAAGGCACCAGGAGAGAAAACCCTTCCCTCACACTTGTTCTGCTCTGGCATGCCACATTTCCAGTCTGGGCTGGACTGCTGGCAAATCAGAAACCCCCACAACTTTTTTCTGAGGAGAAAAGGAAATGTTGCCAGTATTATCAAACCATAGCACATTTACATCAGTGGGGTTTGTCTGGGCTTTTGTTTTGGACCCCAGATGTTTTTGAAGCATGTTCATATCCTATGGAATAAGATGCTCAAGAACACAAAGAAGATTAAGGCTACACAGGTTCAGGATTTTTTAAATAAAAATAGTTTAAAAATATATTCCTAATTCCAGGCCTTTCCTGGAGATGGATCTCCTCTCTTTTAAAGTGTTTTCTAAACTGAGATAGGCAAATTATTTCTGATCTCAGGGCTGTAGTTTCCTTTCTGATATGCAGCAACAAAGCCATAGATGTCAAAGATGCATTTCTTTTTAGCTGCAATAAGCATCTTAAACAATCCTTCCTCCCAGTGAGCCTGTCTGTGTGTCAAACATCAGAACAGAGTCTTGCCATCAGCCAGGGGTCAACAAGCACTTCCAGGGTTTCAGAGGGGTCAGGCTGCTGACAGAGGAGCTCGAGCAGTGGCTCATGCTGCCTCCTGAGTGACAAGGTCATGTCACTGTTCCCAAGCCCAGCCAGCAGAGCTGGAAACACTAAGGATGGTTTCTGGGAGGGCTGCAGAGCAGAAGAGCACCCCCACAGCAAAGCAGAGCTCAGGTCCCACCCGAGGGCCTGGGCAGTGAGGTGTGGCAGTGGCTGGTGTGCTGCCCCAGCCACCACAGAGCTGGCTGCTTGTGCTTATGGAGCAACTGGGTGCTGACTGTCCAAAATCCTGTCACCCACTGCAACTCTGTCCACCTTGGCCCTGCAAGTGCCACAGCACCACAGGAGTGTGAGCTGTACTGTAATCTGCACTGAGATCTCCAAGATTGGCTCTGGCTCATTAATCTTTCTTGGTGAGGAAGGCATAAGAGGCAGAATGGTTTAACTGCCAGAAACCAACCAGAGTTTGCAGTATCACACTAAGAGGAACCTCAAGTGAGTTTGCTGAGCTGGTTTGCATCTGTCCTCAGAGAGCAGCCAGCCACACAGCTGACTAGTCAGAAGCTGGCATATGCTTCTGATGGTATCACTCTGAGACTGCTTTTTTAGCTTAATTACCAGGCACTGTCTATGCATCAGATAAGCATTGCCAAAAAGAATGTGACAGCTTCTCTGACCAAAAGCTTACAGCTTTATTATCTGGCCAGTCAGCCACAGGCTAGCTACAGAGGAACTTCCCAAAGCTATAGCAGTGGCTGTAACTTGGGCTAGTAGTTGGCAGAGCTGTAGGATTAAAAAGAAAAACAAACAACCCACACCACCACAAAACCCCACCCTATTCTGCAAGCACACAGCCAGATTCCCTTCCCACAGACTCCACTCTGCTACCCTGTCTTCACAGCTACACCGAGTCCTCTGTGCCCTAGTGCCCAAACCTTTCTGCTATGATTTGTGCTTTAAAGCAGCAGTATTTCTGAGAGCAAATCCTGCTCCCGAGTTATCTGCTGGTGTTTATTTTGCCTGGTAGGAAGCTGGAATACTCTTGCCTCTGGAGTCCTTAGAAATCCATCAGCTGCCTGCTCTCCAATATGCTGAAGGCCAGTCACAGAGAAAAATGGTCTCATTTCACTGCAGCAGAAGCAGATGGATAGAAGTAAACAACAAGCATATTTCTTAATCCTAAAAAAACCTAGTTATTTTTCAAGTCTCCAGGGTGACATGGAGCCCCTGAACAATCCTGCAGACCTTCTGTCCACAGTTACAAATTAAAACAATCAAGCTGATGCTAGTTGTGTTAACAACCAAGATGTAGTTGTCTGCAGTTGCAGTAAACCAGACCCAGGATGTCAATTTAATCCATTAACTGGTATTATGAAAAGCAGTTCTGTAAAAAAAAAAGTCAGTGGGAACAACAGTACTGAGCACAGGATTGCTTAAACCCGAGGGACCCAAAGGTGGGGGCACCCCACAAGTCACTGTGAAGCTGCTTGTCCCTTGGAAACTCCAGGGGCCTCTTTTATGCCACCACATTCTGCTGCTCCCCTCACTTCTCTCCCAGTTTCACCACCTCATTTATGTACTACCACCACCGGGGTAGAGAGAAACACCTAGAGGACTACTGTAAGAGTAGTAGATGAAAAATGACAAAACCTTTGTGCCATGGCAACAGAACAGGAGGAATGAGGCTGTTCTGCCCTTATCTGCCCCTGGTTCACTGAGATGTTTCCTAATCATTAGCCAGTCTTTAATCATGCCCCTCGCTCACTTCTTCCGCTGCTGCAACTCTGCCCCTCTCGTGGGACAGACAGCACAAAACAATTGCTTCAGTCTGCTGAATTGTTCAGCTAAAAGATCAGCAGGGAAAGAAAAAATCCACGGGGCATCAGCAATTCCAAGCTGCGGGTGCTGTGTGGGGCCCTGGGCAGGCAGGGCCAGGGCAGAGCAGGCTCAGGAACCCTGCGAGTGCCCAGCGGGGCACAGGGCAGGTCCCACGGAACCAGGGGGGCAGAATCTCTGCAGTCTGCCCCGAACGAGGCAGGTCAGGACCCTCATCTGCCCTGGATAATCTTATTTTCAGTTGTGCTTAGCACCTGCACTGCCAAACACTGCTGAGGAGAGTAATCAGAGTGGGTGCAGAGAAAAAATAATCCCTTCCGCTGCATCAAATCCAAGTGCTAGGATAACATCCCCTCCTCCAGATTCACCTCCAGTCATGGAGTGCTCTGTTTGTGATTCGTTAGGTAACACTGAACTGCAATTTACTTATGACTTTAGGCCCCGGATCTTGCAGCCCCCACACAGGATGGCTGGGTAAAGTCAGCAGCACAAAGAGCCTTTCCCAGCCCGCTCTGGACACGCAGCCTCTGCTGCACAGGGCAGGGCAGGGCAGGTGAAGGATGCCTCTAACCTATGATGCCTGCCTGGCAGTGATGCTCTGCTGTCGTTCAGTGCATTTCACACTGTACCTGTGCTCTCACAGCCCTGCACATCCAGTTATTAACCTGTCTTGCCTTTTCCTGGGAAGGGTCTGTGCTGGAACACACCCAGCTGGCTCTTGGCTAAACTTGCTGAGGGAAGAACACTCTGCTACCACTGTAAAGCTTTTTGCACAGTATGTGCCATGAACTTTTCAGTTGAAAATCAATGGATCATAGGATCACAGAACAGTTCCAGTTAGAAGTGGTCTCAGGAGGCCACCTAGCCCAACCCCAGGCTCAAAGCAGGGTCAGCTCTGCAGCCACCCCGGGTCACA